GCACTAGGCTGTCTTAAAAATTTAGAATAATGGCAGCACATTGTACTTATAGGGTTATTACAACTAAGCCCATTGAAACTATATATCTATACATATGTTTAATATGTTTAATATTCTGATATGCATATATATAGACCTATAGGCTTGGTTGATGCTACGTCTCAAGTGTTTTCCCAGAGACCCTCCTGTAAACTTGAGATGCAAGGAGAAGTCCTGAATGGTGACGTGCACATCCACAGAGTTCAGCCAGCCATTATTCTCACCTCTGGCTAGAAATGAACAAAGCTCACTAGAGGACTAAGCCAAGGTGACGAACAATTGCTTACAGAGGCACTAGGGCATTCTGACCGCCCAAGGAAGGTGAGTTGAAGCAAAAGCACATCTTCACCAACAGGGAAGTCAACCATATCTAATAGTATGAAAAGCTTCTACATATAGGACTTTATATATTTTCAAGGTACAGCGATGTGCTAAACCCACAAATGTTGAAGCAAAAGAAGTTGAGATAAGTAGACAGAAAGGTCACAGTATTTGGGGCAGCTTTCCTGACGTGAGCCACTGTTCTTCACATTACACCATTTTATTCTCATATTTTCATTTCAGGGTGACAGCGATAACTAACCACACATGGCTAAAACATGATGGAGTGGAGTTCTCAGTCCTTCAGTAGGGTGTGAGAAGGAAGCAAAGTCAATAAAATGTACTTAGAATTACACTGCCAGTTACATACCCGTGTGTGTATTAAAAGGTATATGTATGTTGTGTATATAAATTTATGTACCTGTATGTAGTAAGCACATGTATGTGTGCAAATGTCCATGTGCACAAGCATGCATAGATATATAGTTCACATACACAACTTGAAAAGGAATAAGTGAATAAAAATTAGTAGACCCAGATTACCAATTCAGTAGGATGCCTGTACCAGATATAAAGATTACAAAATTAAAAAGACTTTAAATTTTTATTTTAGTTTCTTTGTCCATCAGTCCTGGAGAATAATACACATTTCTGAAAAGTTCTATGTCCCCACCCTAAAGTGGGACATGCAGAAGCAGCATTAGGAAGATGATCTGTGAGCTTTGGCCTCAACATCCTGGGCCTCCTGCCTACTAAAATGCATGTTGAGGTGGGGGGATGGGCTGTCAGGAGGCCCAGCTTCTTGCCCCAATCCCAGTTGGGGTCTTGGGCAGGAAGAAATGTTTACATCCCTTGAAGGTTGCAGGTTGCTTTTCACTTTAGAGGAAGACAATGCACTTTCCAAATTGTTCAGGAGGAGCGCGCGCGCGCGCGCGCGCGCGCGTGTGTGTGTGTGTGTGTGTGTGTGTGCGCGCGCGCGTGTGTGTTTGAGAGTGGCTGGTGCTTGTCTATCTCTTCCTATGTGTGTGGGGGGTGTATCTGAGGAGTCTGGCACTTTTCCCTCTCTTCTTGTGTGTGTGTGTGTGTGTGTGTGTGTGTGTGTGTGTGTGTTCGTTTGTGTGTTTGAGGGAGCTGGCGCCTGTAAGTCTCTTCTAGTGTCTGCGTGTTTGTGTGTGTGTGTGTGTGTGTGTGTGTGTGTGTGTGTGTGTGTGTGTGTGTGAGGGGGGCTGGCGCTTTTCCCTCTCTTCGTGTGTGTGTGTGTGTGTGTGCGTGTGTGTGTGTGTGTGTGTGTATACACATTTGAGGGGGCTGACGCTTGTGCAGTTCTGGTGTAAAATCCTTGGTGCTCCTCCAATGGTCCAAGCGTCCTCCCGGGGGCTGTGCGGCCTCCCTAGGAGTCAGGTGTTGGATAGTACAGTCACCAAGGAAACTTTCTAGAGTGAACCGCTCCCAGAGCTTAGGAATCCGGAGCGGGGAAGGCCGGAGGCAAGGAGGGTTGAGGGGGGAACAGGAAGCATCGTAGAATGAGCTTAATCTCAATCGACTCCAGGACGTGGATGGGATAGGGAGAAGGGGAAAAAAGAGGAAGCCCCCAGCCTCCCACGGAGGCCGGCGGCGTCTCCCGAGTCACACGGTCTCTAGTTCCAGGGCAGCCCGCACGGCTGGAGAGAGGGGAGCGAGGAGAGGCCCTGAGCTCGCGACTTCACGACGCGGACGCGAGGAGCGACACTTCCTGGCCACCTTCTGAACGCGCTGGTTCCGCGCACCCAAGATGACGCGTCGGGGCAGGAGTCCGAGAGGGGACACAGCGGGGAAGGGACTGGACCGAACAGCCGCGCGGTCCAGAGGGTGGGGCGGGAGGAGTTGGGCGCTCCCCCCACTCCCCAGCCCCCTCCCG